ATCATTGCTCAATCATGATAACTAGGGACTTCTAAAAATGTGTGATCATTGTTATTAGCAAATACTGATCATCCAGCAAGTTTAAACTGCTTTTTATGGATGTTTGGTCTAATATAAACGTTTCATTTCATTTATCATAAAATGCTCATAACTCTTGATTTTGGGGTTATGAAGACTTTTTCTTTTTACCGAAATATAATTTCGACTTATGAAACTGAAATATTAGCTTTTGAAATAGAGTTATTTTAAGATCGAACGTCACTTTTGAAGTTTGAGGCTGTCTTTCGAAAAGAATTCAAAACTCAACTGAGGAATATTATTTTCATTACACGAGATACTTTAGACTATCGTTGAATTATTTACACAAAGTATATATGGGTTAACTGGTATATGATTCGAGAAATTCATTGAAAATGAACACGCACACTTGAAATATACATAGAAAGATAATGATGAGACATTACGGATCGTCTATTCTATCATATCTTCTGTAGCTAATATCCATTGTAATCATGTAAAAATATAATAATTACAATGTAGAAGGAAAATATCCATAGATTAAATATTGTCAATAAGACTTCACACGCACTCAAATCTCAAGTCGTTTCATTTATTCTGTTTCTCTTTGACTTCCCATATACTTGCCAGCAAACTTAATAACATACTTTTTAAATAATCCAATTAAGATTGGAAAAGAAACTTATTGATATTGTAGAAAATTGTGAATAAAAAGAAAAATATAAAGAATTCATGGTTTTTTTTTCTTGAAATTTCTAACGAGAAAAAGTTCTCTTTATTAAAACTTGTCAATGTGACTTTATGAGAAGCCAAAGTATGGTACTCATAAACTCTAACTGTTATAAATTTATGGTCTATTAGCAGAAGGGTTAAAATAATTCATTTAAAAAAAATACCAAATAAATCAATTTTTATAGTTAATACGTACGCTCTGACATTTTATCATTTCAAAAATATTTGCATGTGGAATTTCTATTCTACCAATTTATGAGATTTATTCAACATCGTTATACTGGAAAAAAAACTTATGTCTATTATCATATTCATCTATAATACATAATTTCTTTTCTACTAATGATAATATGTGCGATGTATACCATAGGAAGCGACAAATATTATTTTATTCTTCGTTTTGTCGGTTCAATTACTATATTAGCCTGCTTGACACATTGATTTAATCGTTCAGCAAGCTTCCTATCACACCAATCTTTCTCTCGATGAATTTTGACGTATGCTATTGACTGTTCACCACCCTACTGATTGACATTTACAATAAGATTCTTTCGCTGCATTAAATACCAAAACCCACAATATTTAGACTAGTTAGAATCTACAGTAGAAATCTTAGATTCGTTGAATGCCTCGGAAGATTCTAGAAAGCTCCAGAATGATCTAAGCACTATTGTTATTGACATGCTTTTTTCCGTTGTTAGAAAAACGTACCGAATGATATTTGGTTTCCTTCTTCTACTCGTGGTTGCTAGGGCTTGGAACCCAAAAGCCTCGATTGAAACTTACCTTCATCATTTTCTTCGTAAATATATGTGAGTTTTACAAAATAGATCTAGAAAAGTATTTGATCTTTCTATCAAAATCAAATTATATATCAATGGTAATTGATTTTTCATATATGAATTCGATACTTCATTAGATCAATATTATTTATATTTTTTTAATTTAATTAAGAACAAATATTTTTTTATATAATAAATTATTCGATTATCTTCCTGTCTTTTTTTTATTTAAAAATAATACGTAATAAAAAATTTCGTCTATACAATGATTTCCAACAAAAATATTTAATTCGTTTTACAACACCTAATAAAAATAAAATACATATTATTAATATTATAATTATATTAGATTTTTTAAATGAATTATCTAATAATTTCTGTTGAATTTTATTTCCATGAATAAGATAAGTATTTGGATTATTATATAAAAATTCTATATTTGTTTCATTACAACCTGTATGCCAACAATTTTGAATAAAATCAGAAAATTGAAATTTATGCCAAAATTGTTTTCCTTTATCTATATGTTTTAATAAATATAAAAATATATCAAGATCATAACCAAATGATTCTTTCGAGTCAAATCGAGTTTCATATGAAATATATTCAAGAAATTGAATAAAATTTAATGATAAATGATACAATGCATTTCCATTTATATGTAGAAAATATTGTCCTATTGATTCAAAACCACGATAAATTGATCCGATCATCCACCATTGTGTTGCAATATATGATTCTCTATCCCGACCCTTGATTATTTGTTCAACAATAGCATCTAACCAATATGAACGAATTGGCCGTGCATCTGGTTCCATAAGAAAAAAATGTGTATAACCATGATAACGTAATGAAATATCGCTAAATTGTTCATTGATAAATAATTTTTTCCACATAATAGCACTACCAATTGGATATCGATTTTCTTGTTTAGATAAATTTGCAGCAAAAATTCGAATATTTTTAAAACAATTATTTTGATAATTTATTTGACGAATTTGATTTTCTAATTTTGATAATCTATTTTCATTATGATAGAATATTAAATCAATAGAATTGAATTGATTTCGACATGGTGAATAAATTTTTTCAAAATTTAATTGATAAATTAAATTATGAAATTGATTTTGAATAAATGGAATAACAATAGCAAGGTAAAATTTTTTTCGAATTAAATCAATATAATTATATTTACCATTATTATAATGATTAATAAGAGTATTATTTATAAAAAAAAATTCATTTTTAACATTTATTAT